ATTTAGGCCAGTGATGAAAAAACTGTCGGATTTGAACCATAATACTTCGTGCTGTCAATCGAGCATCTAGCCCATACCCTACCTTAGCTCCCACGTGTACCAGCCATGATCTTATTTATACACGTGTCGACAACAGCTCTGTGTAGAATACTCACCTCCCTCAGTGGGGTCTAGCCGTCTTGCTCGACGCCCATGCTTGGAATTGTTGTGAACAAACATGTTGTCGGAGACGGCCAGCAGCGGCCCATCGACTGCAGTAGATGTGGAAATGGCTACCTGCAGTTAACGAAATACAACACACACAATACAGTTGAGAGCTGAGTTTTTTGGCAATAATCGTTTCGTGAAAACGTCTGTCTGTCTGTCTGTCTGTCTGTCTGTCTGTCTGTCTGTCTGTCTGTCTGTCTGTCTGTCTGTCTGTCTGTCTGTCTGTCTGTCTGTCTGTCTGTCTGTCTGTCTGTCTGTCTGTCTGTCTGTCTGTGTGTCTGTGTGTCTGTCTGTGTGTCTGTCTGTGTGTCTGTCTGTGTGTCTATTTGTCTGTCTGTCTATTTGTCTGTCTGTCTGTCTGTCTGTCTGTCTGTCTGTCTGTCTGTCTGTCTGTCTGTCTGTCTGTCTGTCTGTCTGTATGTATGTATGTATGTATGTATGTGTGTGTGTGTGTATGTGTGTCGCTGGTAACTATGGAGAATTGTTCTGTCGGGGACATAGATACAAATCTTATCCTGCTCAGTTGGTGGCGACTGCATTAACCATGCGGCTTTTTCGATCTTGAGCCTCACGACCACGCCTCCCCCCTCCCCCCTTCCAACCCTTGTCATCCTTTCCCCCTTTTCTTCCTTTATCTCCCTAAAAGTACTAAACCATTAAAAGTAAATACAGTTTGGATTCATTTTGACAAAAGTTTTACCTGAAATCGCCTCATATCTCTCGGATTGCCAGCGTTTTTTAGGCAGTTCTGGTTGCATTTCATGAAAAATTTGAGGAAAAATCTGAAACACACAGAGGAAATATTTATAGCAATGTGAAATCGCACATGTATATAAATAGTAAAAATAAGAACAAGTATGTACGAATAAAATTTATGGATGACTGAAAGTAAAGTTATGTGGGTTAAAGAGATCAGCCAGTATATGTGAAATCTTTGAAAGTTAATGACCACTTTCAGGGCATGTATAGGCTGCGGTAGCAATTATATGCGTTTCTCTCTTACAAAGATTCATTTCCTTTCTCTCTCTCTCTCTCTCTCTCTCTCTCTCTCTCTCTCTCTCTCTCCCTCTCTCTCTCTCTCTCTCTCTCTCTCTCTCTCTCTCTCTCTCTCTCACACACACATACACACACACACACACACACTCACACACACACACACACACACATTCACAAACTTATACTTAAACTGTTTCTGGCTTGTGAAACCCTACCAGCGCAGAGTACTTTGTCTTACATTTCATATTTAGTCAGACAATGCTAGCGAAATCTGGTATTCCCAGAATTAGGCTATCAACATCTCGTACAAATAGTTTCATCCGACCAAACGTCCATCTAATCCAGTAATAGAAAAACCCTGCCCCAGGCTAGAACGCCATTTATGCACAGCCTTGAATTATTGAATAGATTCTGGCGCGAATAATAGATGAACTTTGGGAGATAGGTTTCCAGTACGAGTACTTCGAGAATGGAAAGTAATGATCAAACCAGAAAGGGGAGATGTGGGTTGCGTAGCTTTTGCGGGCTCACTGGGAAAATCGGTTTAGGTTTTCAGAACATCAGAAGTCTGAAGTCAGGCTGAATATGCAGACTGAATGCATGAAAACAATAACTTAAATTTCAATCTGGGTGGTGCTTCTTTTCCTTCCTTAGCTTCGCGTTTACTGGCTGTAAAATATGGCAGAAAGTTCTGATTGTTCTTTAACTTCTGGACTTGTCTTTTTCAAGAACGTTTTGCGTGCTCATCAGTGTTACATTTTAAGCTTGTTCGTACATAGACTGTTGGTTCATTGCTTTTTTTAGGTAGATGTACTCCGACTCGGAAAAAAGCCTTTAGGTAGTTTACGCTTACGACATGCTTGTTAGGAAGTCAGGAGATCGATTCTTGCCCCCACCCCCCCCCCCCCCACCCCACACCTATAATGAGGCCCCGCAACCTTTACGACGAAATCTGAGTTTTTAAAGTGTAACTGTGCAGTTAAATCGCCTTACGTGGGCAGAAAAACCAAAGATATCAGTTACTCCAGACATAAGCCTGGCTCCAATAGCTGTTTATAAAGCAGTCTTAGCACTCATTACCTTGGAATCCGCAGGTAATTATATACCTCTATACCCATTCAAAGTCATTTCTGAAAACAGTCCGGCTCCATCAGGATCTGAACCTACAACATTCTGATCCCCAAGCGGGCGTCTAGCCGCTACGCCATGTAGTATAACTTTGTTTCTTTTCTTGGACTAACTCGACCTTCTTGACTTGGTTTTAACATGCACATTTCATGTCTTCCATTGAACAGTTAAAGTAACGATCTAATGCAGCGATTCTCAACTTATAGGTCGCGACTTTGTTTCTTTTTTTTTTTTTTTTTTGAACACCACAACACGGGGAACTGTATTGAAAGGTCGCGACATAAGGAAGGTTGAGAATCACTTATCTAATGTGTCCAAGTTATCAATCTTGGCGTGGCAAATCACTCCTGGTCATGACAAATTTTACGAGCTTCTCCGCACTGGGTAATTAAGCTCCTACTTACAAAATCTAGATTACCTAGCTCTCTGAAACCCCTGCCAACAAATCGGACAGAAATGTGCACACAGAACTCGCCTTGACCAGCGGGACAACCTGTTCTGCCAATTAATCTTCCCTAGAATAAGGCTGTCCATATCTAAACAATCGAGGTCAGCGCGGCCAGAGGTCTAAATTCCCTGTCGGTAGCGCCTATTTATAAATAAAAATGGCCATTTCTCAATGGTACCCTGCCGTATTGTGACGGCCATGACTTGGGTCTCACATCGAGCCTTATCTCTATCTTTCTCTCTACTCGCGTGAAAGATTGGTCTCGGGAGAGTTGATGTTACTCACTCCCCCTGGCTTGACGTCGGTTTCTGCCATACTGGCTACCGTATCACATATACTGGCGATGGTCAGATGTTAGGTTTGGTGCACTTGTGATTGATAATATCAGCTGCTACAACCCTTTCTTTGTTTTATAGACTTTATTGGGAGGAGTCCTGGGAGGGTACGGTGTCTGTCTCAAGCTGAGAAGGTATTAGGTTCGAATGCCAGTATAGCATAAGTAAGTAGCGCCACTAGGGTGTCGGACATATCTTGCCCCTAAAGGACCCGTTTCTCCAACTTCAGGTGTATTGGGCGAATAGGGTTAAACCAATTTTTATAAGACTAATAGGCACCCGAAAGGGTGATGTGGTCAGCCATCACTCCGGCTGCCTTTACTTTCTATGACTTTACCGCGAACCCATTTAGGGCTGGGTCGACCTGGCAGGCGGGACCATTTTTGAAACAAAAAAGTCTGACTTAGGATGCCAGGCTCGCTCTTTTATAGACTAAACGGCACTAGATAAGTGATGTAGTCAACATCATTCGGCGGCTTTTACTTCCCGGGAATTCACACCATACCTATTTTAGGCTGGGTCGACCCAGGTGCCAGCGCCGTTTTCTTTATAAATCCGACTCGATGGATTCAATCGCAAGATCAACGGGAAACAAGACATACGCGACAGGGAAATTAAAAACACGAAGGGCTATAGGCCGCAAACGAAACATTTTTTTTTTACACGTTTAAAAATGTATTTTATTTATCTTTTTTTATATCTCTCCCCCCCCCCCCCCTTTTTTTTAACACCCACACACAGACTTCTTGTTTATTTGTTCTGTCTTGTCCGTTTAGTTTTCTTATCACAGCTGGTCATATCCCCCGTGTGGGTTCCGGGGCCCCATTGTGGGGAAAACAAGAATAGACCCACTGCCTCCCCAAAAGCATGTCGTAAGAGTCGACTAATTGGGGAGCTTCCTTTGAAGTCGGAGTGCATCTGCCGGAGAGGCAAGGAACCAACAGTCTATATTTAAAAGAATGAGATCTGTAAAACTGATGCACACGCAACACTCAGGTTCTGGAGCAGGACTGCAGTTCAGTAGTGGACGAGCAACCAGAACTTTCCGCCAGAGTGTACAGCTGGTGAACGCGAAGAAGAAGAAGAAGAAGACAACTGGTGATGTATTTAGTACTTTTCTGACGAAGACTTTAGTCGAAACGTTCGTTTGTATCTGTGTATGTCTTTTCCGTTCCTTCCAAATAGCTTTCCAGTCACACTTTGTACTAAAGTTTTACAAGTACGAAATCCGAGAAATTGCGTCTACGTAAGTAACGCTTGTTGCGAATAACCGTAAGCCGGTTCTACGGCGAAACACATCCTGCCGAAACAATTACTGGCAGAAAATTGAAAGGCCATCTTAAGATTTTCAGAAAAAAGTCTTGAGAAGTTATTTATTTCCACTTTCCCATGAGAAAATAAACACAAATTTAACAATTTTGACAAGGTCTGGAATTGAAATTAAACATCTCTATCATTTCTTTACCGCGAATTTACTTTCTCTTGCTAACTAGTGCCAAGCGTTGCCCGACGTCTGCATTCAAATATGACTGTAACGTAGCAGTTTTTTTTATTTTTTATAATGAAACCTTTTTCGGTTTGATTCGCGCTCCTTCGGTCGCCATCTCGTCGTAAGCACCTGTTGGCCGCGAGCTGGGAAAATCATATCCTGCGAAATCTTATCTGCTCATAAGCTGGTTACTGTCGTTGCACGCAGGTCTTAATTTAACACACAGAAGTAACGATCTAACGCGGTCAAAATGCAGTTTTTAAAGTACAGTGGTACTCTATTTAACTTTCCGAATTAGTCCCCGTTGGTTTGAAGCATCAGTTGCGTCCCTGTTCGATCAAAGCTATTAACTATTATCAGAAGAAGAAAAAACATCTTGTACGTTCACATGCAGCTGCATTTGGCAGGTGGTCTTGCAGTTTACAGCTAGGCTGCGATAACTGGACCTTTCGTTCTAACACATCCGATTTTAACAAACTCGTAATTAGTCGCCTTTTACAGCCTTCTGGTTGAGGTGCATGTCTACGCCTCCCCACCCCCCCCCCCCCTTCCGCCGCCACCCATAACAAATACAATTTTGGGGACCCGAAACCTTGGGGTCAAATGAAGACAAAATTAGCACGGGTAAACATCCTCCATAAAACATAACTGTGAATGACAGCAAGAAGGTTTTGGCTAGATAAGCCAAACATAAGACACAAAATTATTCTCAGTGCCATTGGTAGTCCGCGGAAGTAACGACAGCCGGAGTAAAGTTGGCCACCACACCCACCGAGTGCCGATTGGTAGATAAAATATAGGTCTAGCCCCGTGTGGCCAGTTCGCCTAAAACCGTGAATTAATTAAGTAACAGAAAGTATTGTGAACGGCACTCATAGAAAGAAGTAGAAAGATAAAAGAACACACTAGACAACAAAAAAATCGAAAGCTATAGTTACCGTGCCGGGAATTGAACCTGTCACCTCCAGACGGCGTCTGCGCCTCGCCATGAATACAAGTGCACTAAGATACATGGTCAACTAGGCACCCCCCCCCCCCCCCCCCCAAAAAAAAAAGGTGTCTCATTGGATCACTGCTAGCATCTGTTTATGGTAAGCTTGGTAATCTTAGTTTCAGCTTCATAGCCAACGAGTCACCCTATAGTTGCTCCGCTCCTGTGCGAACGAAAAACACACAGAATGTTTGTCGCAGTCCCGTGTGGAAAGATTGAGAGACTGCTGTCTCAGCATATGCACTAGCATACACACGCATTAAAAGCATACGGTAGCTATCAGAAGTGCTAACACAAACAGTCTGACATTAGAAATGCAGTTCTGTTTATGGTTTTCGAGAGATAAGGTCATGGGGGTAGTTTGCTCAATCAGTCGCCGTACAGTGATCAGGCTA